TTCTGCCAGCAGAACTCTGATGAGGGCTGCAAGTTTTCAGCAGTATGATTTCCAGTCCCTGTTGAGCAATAGTAATCCCTAAGTTGCAGATAATTTTCTTTTTTCTCCATGTCAGGCCTGCTTCTAAAACTAGATAGAAAGAACATGAACAAGTCATCAGTTTTACTGACTGTGACCACATATAATATTTTGTGAAAAATAAATAAACCTACCTATACAGGTTCATGTTTTTTTTTTTTTAAAGTACTAGAAAAATGCATAAAAGTATCAAGGCTCGATACCAGCCCTACCAACAGCAGTCACGTGACTGAAAAACCAGATAGACAATGGACGGTGCAAAGGTCATTATCTTGTGCTGTTTTCACTTTTTTCCCTTAACATAGAGATGGTTATACATGCAAGAGACAGAAATTAGCCACCAGGAAAATACTGCGCATATCCACATGCAGCGCGTAGATGAAAAATAAAACAGTTGTTTGTTCCCTACAGTAGACAGGCCTGCCCCTTCATCCTTGTGATAGATGTGCATGCAAAACCGAAATGAAATCAAATCCCTGCAGATCACTCATAAGTCACACAAACAGTTTAATCCTTTCACTGCCTCCCTTTGGGAAGCCTGCCCCTTGGTGAGTAATAACATACAATTCATACAATGTCAAGTGTTCTCTTAGTTTTTTAGTAGAAAGCCTTCACTTTCTCTAACAGGATTTTGTTTTTCCTTATTTCTCGTAAAGAGCATTATGCCACTCTGTTATCTCAGTAAGTGCATCCAGAATTCGGTCGTAGCTTTTGTTTTAAGAGGAAAAGTGTCAGTATCCTGAAACTATATATAGAAACCTTAGCTAAAATTGATTCTGGATCAGAGGCATATTTTAAGAGGCAGACAGGCAAATCTAAGTGCATTTTTACTTGGCTCTTTGCAATGGATTTTACTAGAAAACAGTTGCATTGCGAGCAGGAATACTATGAAAGGAGACCTTGGAGTCTTAACCACTGAACAGATGCCACAAGTGCAGCTTTGGAAATACTGCTGTCACTTCAGATCTTTTCCGCTGAGTACCTATGTAAGCCAGTGGCCGGAGCTGGTGGCATGCGAAGATTTTTGCAGTTCTGCAGAAAACAGACACTGTGAGAATTCTTAAAACAGAGTCATATGCCTATTATCAATCTATTTTTAAGTATTTCGTTCTTCTTTGGTTTTCCTTCTACTTACAGTTTTTTGAGGACTAGAACTGATGAGAATTCATACAAAAAAGTATTTGTCTCTAGCACCGTGAAATTTTTTCGTTTGTGAGTTGCTAACTTGTCAAACCAAATCAGAAACTCTTGGTATCTTTGTTACATTAAAGCGATTCCTGGTATTGACTCTTGGGAAGGATTTAATTTTCTTACTCTCTCAGCTGAAAGTTGCACTTTTATCAACAATGATGTGAGATTATTTTTCTCCTTACGCCCCATGGGGTTATGTGTGTGTGTTTTGTATATGTCCATGTGTCTGTATATATATATATATATATATATATATATATATATATATATATACACACACATTATATATATGTGTGTGTGTGTGTATGTATATATGTATATGTACACTCTTAGCTTATGTCTGGATCTTGATCTGGCTCTGAAAATAGGCAAATACATGTAATATATCAAAGTACTCCTAACTTCAGTGAAAATAAAATTCAAAAGTAGCATGATATGTATAAGTTTAATTTATAATAATCATATGCATACTCAAGATAGTAGCAGGCATTTACTAATAATTGTATCATTCCTTTTGATTAATTTAATAATAAAATATTCTCTAACAATGTCTGCCTAATTTAGTAGTATTTCAGTGTTCAAATTGAAAAACTATAGTGTAGGGAGCATAATTAACTTTCATAAAATCAATGTATAAACTGCTCACAGAACTTTGATCTCTGGATGTTCAACTTTAAAATCCCTATCCATTCTATACTGTATTGACTAAATATACATATGATATTGTATTGTATTTT